TTCTTCGCTCCTCGCGCTGCGCGGTGACCTCCCGCAGCAGTTGAAGGAGCTGCTGCGTTCAGGGTGCTCCAGGCTTCCCCCTCAGGTGCACCTCGCGCACGGGCTCTCAGGGTTGGGTTTCCTGCGGCCGCGCCCGCATTGTACGCTTCGAAGGAGTGAAATGGCGCAGGAAGCTGGGGTCCAGGGCTCCAGTCTTTCACCACGCTGCAAGGTTCTCGCGCCGCTGGATGTCAGGGGGGGGGGCTGGCCCCGGCGGTCTCCCGCCTTTCGGCCCCAGATCTCCGTCGATGGTGGTGCGACTTTTTCAGTCCGGCCGCGTTTCTCCTCGATGTCGGCGGGACAATCGGGAAACGGATCTCCGCGGCAGAAAGCTGCAGCAGGGGCCGGGGTCGCGAGCCCTGGGGCCGCGCAGAGGACGTTTGGGGGCCCAGCCTCCTCCAACTCCTCCGCCACTCTTAGGTCGGGCCTGTCACTCTACAGGAGGAATGTTCAAAAATTGTTGAAAGATAGTACGGGGACAATTTTTTGAGTATGCTATTTGAGGGTAGTTTTTGACTGCTTTTGGTTTTTCTCCCCAAATCCGCCTGTAGGAGGACATGCCCGACCTAACACCACCCTCATATCCCTCCTCCCTCCCCCCCCCCCGGCATGCACATGTTCAAAACGCCCCCGCCGAAACCTCCCTCATCCCTGATTCCAACGTCCACTCGCCGAGGCTTCGTGGCCCTCTGTGGGCTTCAGTCGAGACTCGCTTCCCTTCCGTTCGTCTTCCTCACAAGTAACTCCGCAATGTCGCTCCACCAGACGTGTCCGAAGGCTAGGCCGGGCGTGTCGCTTGAGACTTCTTTGCAATCTTAGAACTTCAGCAGTTGCACAGGTGGAGGGCTGGTGGTTTTCAGATATGGTTGTCGCTTTAGCGCCGCACATGCGTCTTCAACCATACCAGCAGTGTCACGCTCTCGCCTTTGGCGTCGCGCGCACTCGGTAAAGCTATCGTGCATTTACACGGATGGAGACTGGCATGTTTTCAGCATGGGAGCTCTCTCCCGCGACTTCCCTGATACAAACATATTGCCATCAGTGGAGCATTGTGCAACATTGCGCGGATGGAGATCGGTTCTTTGTTCAGAGCGAGGCTGTGTTTGGACATTTGCTTTACTTGTAGAGCCCCACCTTCTCGCATTCCTTATCGCTCGAACGGTGGAAGGCGGCTCCCTTCGAAACGGAGCTCCCGCCTGCATCGCGGGCCCGTGGGGCGCTCGGTCCTCCTCTCCTCTGCTCTCGTGCTCGTGCCTTTCTGCTCCACCTGCTCCTCCGTCGTGGCTCGTCCCATTGCCCGCTTGGGAGGAGGAGGAGGAGGAGGAGGAGGAGGAGGAGGAGGAGGAGGAGGAGGAGGAGGAGGAGGAGGAGGAGGAGGCGAGCAGGAGGAGGAGGAGGAGGAGGAGGAGGAGGAGGAGGAGGAGGAGGTGCTTGCTCAGATTTGAAGGCCGATCGGGGACCTTGAGCCGCCAGATTTAAAGGCCGATCTGGGACCTTGGCCCCCCCTCGGCTCTTCCACCCCCTGGTGCTGGCCCGCCTCCTCCGCCACCTCGTCTCCCTGTCTATCCAGGTGGCCTCCCGAGGCCGCCGGCCTGGCCCCCTCCGATCCCGCGCGCGCGGCATGCCCCGGCACTGCCCGACTCCTCCGGGCGGGCGGTCTCCGGGAACCCTTCGGCACGCGAGCACGGCCACCACGCCCGCCTCTCTGGGCTGGGCGTCCCCCTTGCCGAGGACGGGGCGTCCCGCCTGTCAGCAGCCGCGCGGGCCAGGGGAGGCACACGGCGCGGGTGTTCGTTGAGGAATGTGTCCAGGAGGCTTCAGGCCCTGGAGGATCCCTTAACTGTCATGGCCAAGCCTCAATGGATGCTCCACCTAGTTTCAAACCCTGGATTCTTTATCCAATGGTTGCTTACCCAATGCCCTCACCGTATGAGACGTGGCCCGCCGGAGAGCAGAGCGGTGCAGTCGAGAGGTGCACACGTGTGGCAGCCGGACGGAGGAAGCGGAAGACACGCCGCGAAGCGCCAGAGAGAAGGAAGAGCAGAGTAGGGAAGAGTGCCAGAGCCAGAAGCTGCGACGTGTGCCAAACCCGGAAGCTGCGAGTATGTGATCAGGGTGAGGGGGCCGAGCGGTCATTCACTGTTCCTGGGTGCATGGCCGAAGTGGGCTTCCGCGGTGCGGATTGCTGTTGTGATTGCTGTAGCTGCTGTTGTGGTTGTGGTTGTTGTTGTTGTTGAATATTATTACTTCTAAAGAATAATTATTGTTGGGCCCCCTGGTGCACGCCCCCCTCGCCGCGCCTAGGCCGCAGCCACATTTTCATTATTTTCGTGAGGAAGTCTCAGGCAAAACGATGTGTACAAGATCCGGTTGTTTTGTTGACGCCCGCTTTCCCGGTCAAAAAACAATATAAGATGACATGTCTTGTTCTAACATAGTCAAACTTCAAGAATCCTTTGCAACAAATGACACGAAGTGCACACTCGCGCGCGCAAGATGAAATCCTTCCAAAACCTTAGTTGTCGTAGCGATTTTAACATAAAAACATGAAAAACCCAATGGTTTTTCAAAAAAAAAGTTTCAAAAATTCATCCCGCGCGCTCTTGCGGATTTCTTAGGAAACCCAATACTTTTTCAACATTTCTGTCAAACGGGCTCTTGCGAGCAACTTTTTCACGTGCTTCGAACTTCTGCAACAACGGTTGCGCGCCTGCCAGGGCCATCATCCCTGTCAAATAATACCATATGGGACACATTCGTTTTTTCTTCGCGCGCGCACGCCGAAATCTTCAAACACCATTGGGTTTCTTAAGAATTTCAGCACCGCGTATCATAAAATCGCACGAATCGCACCGTAGGTCCTCGAAAAACACGTGCACGGATTTTCAAAATTTCTACCCGCGCGCGCTGTCCGAATCCTTAAAAACCAATGGTTTTTCAACATTTATGTTACATGAGCTCGCGCGAGCTACTTTCGCAAGCTCTTTCAACGGCGTTCGCGCGCCTGCCAGGGGCCACAATCCGCCAGTGTAGTAGCCACGCGCCAGTGTAGTAGCCACGGTCGTCCGCAGGCCACGAAGTGAAGTGTCCGAACGTCATAGGGCGGGAAGCTGGGTGTGGGTGGTGGCGAAGAGTCGTTTGGAAATGTGGTAGAGCTTGAACCGGCCCCCCCACAAAGTGGGGGTATTGGCGGGCGTCGTATGAAAACCCTGGCACTGGTGAGAACGGAGTGTCCCCACGTGCTAGTAATTGTTGTTGTTGTTGTTGTTGTTGTTGTTGTGGTTGTTGTGGTTGTTGTTGTTGTTGTTGTTGTCGTTGTCGCTGTCGTTGTTGTTGTCGTTGTTGTTGTTATTGCTGTTGTTGTTGTGGTTGTTGTTGTGGTTGTGGTTGTTGTGGTTCTTGTGGTTGTTGTGGTTGCTGTCGTTGTTGTCGTTGTTGTGGTTGTTGTGATTGCTGTTGTTGTGGTTGTTGATGTTGTTGTTGTTGTTGTGGTTGTTGTTGTGGTTGTTGTTGTTGTTGTTGTTGTTGTTGTTGTTGTTATTATGGTTGTGGTTGTGGTTGTGGTTGTGGTTGGTATGATTGTTGTTGTCAACGTTGTTGTTGCTGCTGCTGCTGTTGTTGTTGTTGTTGTTGTTGTTATCGTTGTTGTTGTCGTTGTTGTTGTAGTTGTTGTTATCGTTGTTGTTGTCGTCGTTTTTGTTGTTGTTGTTGTTGTTGTTGTTGTCGTTGTTGTTGTGGTTGTTGTTGTGGTTGTTGTTGTTGTTGTGGTTGTTGTTGTTGTTGTTGTTGTTGATGTTGTTGTTGTTGTGGTTGTTGTTGTGGTTGTTGTTGTTGTTGTTGATGTTGATGTTGTTGTTGTTGTTGTTGTTGTTGTTGCTGGTGGTTGCTTGATGTTTGTTGTCTGTTGTCGTCCCGCACGCGACATGGCCCGCGACCCACCCGCGACCGCCCCGCGACCGCCCCCTCACTCTTGATCGCAACTGCGGGGTGCTACGCATACTGGGACAACTCGCTCACCGAAGAGGCCCACTGTTGCCGCGGTCTTCCACGCCCTCGCTTGACGGCCCACCCTTGCGGCGTCTGAAGAGGAGCGTGCCGCCCCTTGCCACGGACGCGCCAGGGAGGGCGCAGGCCCCGCTATCGAAGCAAGGCCCTTCAGATCTGACGCCGCGAGACATCGAGCAAAGCACGAGCGAGCGAATCTCGACTGGAGCCCTCGGCCCCATCCTTCTGCAGCATTTGTCGAGCTAGATCGATCTGCGAGGGTCCTCGAGCCCGACACCCAGCGAAAATGCCTGGTGTGCAAGAGTTACAAAGCCGGATTTGAGGGAGGAGGGAGTGCGCATCGTTTGACCGATCCCCATCCCCGCTGGCATGGCCCTGGCCCACTGGTATTGGCTGTTCCCTTCGAGTTTTGAGGGGCATATCCCAACCAGGGGGGGGGTGGGATGATGAGGCTGAGATGCCATGGCCTGGTGGGGATGGGGATATATTGAACGCTTCTGAGGACCTCTGGACCTCTCCCTGTTTGCGCTCAGACCAGAATCTCGAGGCGAACCTGGCCATGGCGACGAGGGCCTCCCGAGAGGCCCAGCATGGCGAAGACGAGCCAAAGGTAGCGGCATCGATGTCCTTTTCTGCGTATGCACTCTGTTTTTTCGACCTGTGGAGGGAGGAAGGAGGAGGAAGAGGAGGAGGAGCAGGAGGAGGAGGAGGAGGGAAGAGGAGGAGGAGGAGGAGGAGGAGGAGGAGGAGGAGGAGGAGGAGGAGGAGAGGAGGATGAGGAGGAGGACGAAGGAGGGGCAGGAGGAGGAGGAGGAGGAGGAGAATGGGGAAGAGGAGAGAGGAGGGAGGAGGAGGAGGAGGAGGAGGGAGGAAGGAGGAGGAGGAGGAGGAGGAGGAGGAGGAGGAGGGAGGGGGAGGGAGGCCCCGCGCGCACACGCCATCCGCCGGGCAGGCGTTGCGCAGGGGGGGGGGGAGGGGGGGGGCGCCGCTCCCGCGGCGTGCGCGGGCGGGGGCGCAGCTCGGGAGCGACACAGGCCCCGGGTGAGGAGGGAAGCGAGGACGGGGATCGGACGATGGTGGTGGTGGTCGTGGTGGTGGTCGTGGTGGTGGTGGTGGTGGTGATGGCTGTGATGATGAGTATGATGATGATGATGATGATGATGATGATGATGATGATGATGATGATGATGATGATGCTGATGCTGCTGCTGCTGCTGACTGCTGCTGCTGATGATGATGATGATGATGATGATGATGATGATGATGATGCTGATGATGCTGATGATGATTGATGATGATGATGATGATGAATGATGATGATGATGGATGAATGAGGAGGAGGAGGAGGAGGAGGAGGAGGAGGAGGAGGAGGAGGAAGGAGAAGGAGGAGGAGGAGGGAGGAGGAGGAGGAGGAGTAGGAGGAGGAGGAGAGGAGGAGAGGAGGAGAGGGGGCAAGAGGAGGAGAGGGGGCAAGAGGAGGAGGAGGCTGACGATGACGATGACGACGTTGATGAGGATGGTGATATGAGGACGGTGGTACGAGGATGATGATGGTTAGACGGTGGTGGCGGTGGTGATGGTGGTGATGTTGGTGGTGATGGTGGTTATGACCATGATGATGGTGATGGTGGTGATGATGATACTGCTGATGCCGATGCTGCTGCTGACGATGATGATGATGATGATGATGATGCTGATGATGCTGATGATGACGATGATGATGATGATGATGATGCTAATGCTGATGCTGATGTTGCTGCTGCTGCTGATGCTGATGCTGATGCTGATGTTGATGATGATGATGATGATGATGATGATGATGATGATGATGATGATGATGATGATGATGATGATGATGATCATGGCGTTGCCGCCGATGGCGGTGGCATCGACGACGACGAAGATGATAGTTGTCGAACTGACAGGCACCTTCGGTGCCTCCTTCTCCTTATGCTGCTGCTCATCCTCCCTCCCTGTGTGCCCCGAGGGGGCCCCTCCCGTAGGGGAGGGGTCGGGACCCTAGGGTCCCCCTGGCGCAGGCGGGGAGCGCCGGGCCCGAGGGGCGAAAAGCCCCCGCACCCCGGGGGACGCCGCCAAAGCGCGGTTTCCTTCCCCCGGGGGGGTCGCCAGGCCCCGTGTGCTTCCCCAGGGCGGTGCTGGGTTCCCCCCCAGCACTGGCCGCCCTGGGGCGGGGTCGGCGGCCCGTCCCTGTCGTGTCGCTCGTTCGTGTCGTGTCGTTCGTGTCGCGTCGTTCGTTTCGTCCCCCTGTCGTGTCGTGTCGTGTCGTGTCGGGGTCCCGGGGTCCGAAACGCGGCCACCCATGGAGTGGGTGGTGGGTAGGGTTGGCGCGGAGCACGTGCTCCTGCGCCCCCTACCCCGACCAGGGAGCGCGGAGCACGGTCTCCTGCGCTCCCTGGTCGCGCTCCGGTCGCGCCACGAGGGCACGGCCCCGACCGTGGCGCGACCGTCTTTTTCTCGCTGGCACTCGCCACGCCAGCGGAGTCATGTGGCTGATCATGGGTCGACCCAAAAAAAAAATCCTCCCTCCCTGTGTTCTCCTCCGCGTCCTCCGCTTCCACCTTCCCCTCCTTACCCTCCTCCCATCCTCCTCTCTCCGCCTCCTTTCGCTCCCCTATCCCTCTTCCTGATAAAAAAGCCTTCGTCGCACCATACGGCGCGTTGGTAGAGCGGCGAGCCAGGCGTTTCACAGGACACTTCCACACCGTTCATGACTTTGAAGCTGCGCCCAGGCTGGTACCGCGCTGGAGGGCTTCCCTAAAGCGCACGGTCAACTTCTCCGCGGCGGACATCGACTTGCTCTCCCTGGGATGCGCACCAACGGCAATGGAGTCGCGGGTCATGTACGGCCGGGTTGTCATCGCCTGGCAATTGTATATATTTGTACATTTTCTCGCATGTTGTGGACTGTGTGGCATGTCCCGGCTGTGTGTTTGCAGGTACGTATGGAGGGCGGGCGGTTCTCAACATGTGGTTCGCGCCTCAGCGCCGCGCACACTCGTCATGCGATCCCCCAACAGTTCAACGCAGCCATTGGGCACGGGTGGTTCTAAACCTATTGGCGCCGCCCTGGAGCCGGGCGCATTCATGTGAATCGTCGCCGACGGCTACGCCGACAGAGGGCGGCTCCTCTTTCGAAACGCGGCTCCCGCCGTGGCTGCGCTCACGTTCGCTTCGCGTGGTTGCTCCAGTTGCACACGGAGGGAAGGCGATTCTTTTTGAATGTGTGTGTGTGTTTGTGTGTGTGTATGTGTGTGTATGTTTGGCAAATCTTCACAGCTCATGGCCATAACTGTAAGTGTGCGCAACATCGACTGGCTGGAGGTTCGTTTCTGTTTAAATTGGGATTTCCCCCAGGAGGTCCTTACTTTGAAATTTGTTAAATTGTGCAGCAGTTAAATGGTGCAGCAGCTGCGCATATGGATTGCGATTCCTCATCAATGGTGCTGGTGCTGGGCGCGCCTCCGTTGCCGCATCTGCTGCCGAGGACAGTAATCAGGATATGGTCCGCGTGAGCGGACCTGCGCATGCCGCGTCAATCTTTGCCCGGACTGGTCCCGACATGCGCCAGCAAAGTGTTGCCACTTTTGCACCCACGACTATCATCGACCGTCGTCATCGACCATGTAAATTTCACCGCCGCCACGAGGGGTTGGGGCGAGGGAGGGAGGAGAAAGAGAGAGAGAGGAAGTGGAGGAGGAGGAGGAAGAGGAGGAGGAGGAGGAGGAGAAGGAGGAGGAGGAGGAGGAGGAGAAGGAGGAGGAGGAGGAAACGTCGTGGCTCGAACGACGGTGAAATCCCGAAGAGCGCTGTCCATTGGCGCTCGACGTGGCGGCTCCCCCACTGCGACGTCACCCAGCTGCCTGCGGCAAGTTCCGCCACCGTGCCTGGGTTGTGTCGGGGGAGCGTAAGACCCGGGTTTGCCAGGACTCGGGTTCGCCATCGTTTTTTGACGACCGCGCCTCGGATTTTGACTAGGAGGAGTTTCGTGGGATGTCTGCAGCGGGAGGCCTCGTCAAAATGCAGGCTCGGCCTCGTCATTTTTTTGACGACCTCGTCGGGCCAACCCGAGTCCCCCGTACCCGGGTCTTACGTCTCCCCGATTGTGGGTGTGAAGCCTATTTGATATTCGTTGGGATCTCGTGGGGGTCCCCTCGAAGGGCCTTTTGGAGGCAGTTTTGAGGCCTCTCCGGGGCCGTTTTGGGACCTTTTTGGGGCCTCTTCTGGGCCTCTTGGGCGCCTCTTGGGGCCTGTTAGGGGGCCTTTTTGGGGCCTCTTGGGGCCTGTTGGGCGCCTCTGGGGGCCTCCTGGCTCCTGGGGGCCTCTTCGGGCGGAAAGCTCGTATTTTCAGTTCGTGTTCCCTCTCTAGGGCTCGTTTTTTGGACGTCTTAGGGCCCTCTTGGGCCCTCTTTGGCCTCTTGGGCCATCTTGGAGCGTCGGAAAGCCGAAAAGACGAGAAAGTTTAGATCCCCCAGACCCATGGAACATCAATGATTTTTGCCCCTTGGGGCCCTCTTGGGAAGCTTCTTGGAGGCCTCTTGGGACGTCTTGGAGGAATCTTGGGCCATCGCGGGACATCTTGGGCGTCCTCGAGCGATCGTTCCGCGACTCGGGGCCTTCTTGGACGGTCTTGGTGTCCTCCTGGGCCGTCATGGAAACCTTGGAGAACCCTAGGGAGGCGCCATGGCCGCCCAGGGGCCCCCCCGGGAGTGGGGGCGATGAAGTGTGACCTGGGAGGTGGGGGCCCCCTTAGAAAAACTACAGAAACCCTTGGCGTTCTTCCGCGCCTCAACGTGCCGCAGGCACGGTGGCGGATATCGAGCAGGATCCTCCCGGCAAGTTCTCTGCAGCAGCTGTTCTCGCATCGGCGTCAGCGGAAGTGTCGGGATCGGAGTAGAGTTCGGAAACGGGGGGGTGGCAGGGCCCGCTGAATTTACCTGGCATGGCTGCCGGCAGCACCGCCGACCGCTCTGCCACCAGCCGACCCAGAAGGGCCCACCAAAACCTGCGACAGGCTCCTCCGTGCGCCCGCGAGCGAGCCCCCAAACCACCCGCCCGCCCAACCCGACGCGGCCGACGCCGCACACGGCACGGCCGCCGCCCGCGCAGCGGCAGGCCGATCATGCCGCGGCCGGCGCACCGACCGCCCGCTGCCACGGCCGGCCCAGCTGACCCTCCCACGGCAGCCGCTCGCGCGCGAGCGAGCGCGGCCCTGCCGACGACCACCGCCGCACCCCCGCGGCCGCAGGGGCCCGCCCGCGGGAGCCCGGCGGGGCTCGGCGGGCCAGTGCGGCGCCGACGGCAGCACCGCGACGTGTCGGCGATCTCGAGGAGCAGCTTCGGCGCCTCCCGTCTGCACGAGCGAAATTCAGGCGGGGAAAACACACACAGACACGATTGATCGTCGATCCCCCAGGAAATATGGGAAAATATGGGCAAAGGGGGGGAAGACGACAACCGAGGAAATCTGGGAAAAGATGGGGGATTCTGTCATTTGTGTGTATTTATTTGCGTGTCCCAGGGCCCCTGCAGAAATGGGCACGGAAAGAATGGGTACAATGCCCAACAGCGGATCTGGTTCATTTTGAACAGGGCTCGCTGTCGGTGTCGCCGCGGCCTGTGTCCATTTGAAACAGAGGGCCGCCTGCCCAACAGCGGCCGCTGTTGGTTCGGGACAACATTTGCTGTTGGGCGTTCTGCCCATTGTCTCCGTGCCCATTTCGGGCGTCCAAATCCAGGAGGCCGCCATCCACCAGCGTGCTGAGCGCCACGCGATTGACCAGACGCCGGGTGAGCGGCGGAAGAGAGCGGGGTCGACCGCGTGGACGTCCGCGCGCAAGCTTCTCGCATAACCTGGCGGGTGAGCGCCCTCTTCTCCACGCGGTGTGCCGCGCTGGCGTCCCGCGTAAGTCGCGGCGTAAGGTCGCCATGTCTCGAAGAAGAAAAACGCCACAAATATAAACTTTCACGCGGATTTCTCGGATCCAGCTGGACCCCTCGGCGGCGCCTCGGGCGCCGCCCCTGGAGCGCTCCGCGCGCCAGGGAGGGGGGCCCGGCGCAGATCCAAGAAACCAGCGCGGAGCGCCAAAAATTTACGTTTATGGCGTTTTTTTTCTTCCAATGTTCTTCACTAGCGAAATGGGTACGGAAAGAACGGGTACAATGCCCAACAGCAGTTCCTGTTCATCTTGAACAGGACTCGCTGTCCAAGCCGCCGTGGCCTGTGTCCACTTGAGACAAAAGGCCGCCTGCCCAACAGCGGCCGCTGTTGGTTTGGGACAACATGTGTTGTTGGGCATTGTGCCCATTCTTGATGAGGCCCGGCGCCACGCAGGGGGCCCAGGGCCCCGAGGGGATGATTTCTGCTTCATCTCTGCGTCCTGCGTGGCACGTTTCGGCCGCCGAGGCCCGTTGATAGATGTCGGGCCCCGGGAAGGTGGATGGGGGGCGCAAGACTGCCCCTGGGGCCTGGCGTCGGCGAGCGTGCCGCGCCGCTGGTTCTGGCCGTGCACGGGCCCCTGGGCCCCCCCGAGTCACGAAGAGAGCATGACGGAGGGCTGTCGCTGTCTTCAGATCCTGGGGGCCCTTGCCGGGCTCCGGGGCCGTCGAAGGGCAGCTCAGGATGAAAAACACCAGTCCCGAGGAATGGGTTCCAGACTGCTGGGGTCGACGTTGTGAAAAACCTGACGTCGGGGTCTGGGTCCAGCATGGTGGGCTTGTCGTCCATTGCCACCAGCACAGGCAGATGAGGGAAGGGGGTCCTCCTCTTCCTCCTCCGGATCCTCCACCCCCTTCCACGAAGGATTGCAAATCCTTCGTTTGTTTGCAATCCAAACTTTTTTGCAATCCTTCGTTTGTTTTGCAATCCTTTTTTTTGTTTTTATTGTTTTTTTTTGTTTGTTGCAATCCTTCGTTTTTTTTTTTTTTTTTTTTTTGTTTGTTTCATTCCTCCAAGTTATGGTGGTGGTGGTGGTGGAAAACAGGCCCATCACAGCACTCACGCGCAAGGACTGCATGCTCCGAGCGTGCTCGACCCTGCCCCGCGCGCTCCTCTCCCTCCCCCCCCCCGCCGCCCGCCGTGCCCCACGCGGCCACGCGCACCCCACGCCTGTCTTCGAGCGCGGCTATGACTCTCGCCGCTGCGACGAAAGACGCTGCGCCGCTGGTTCTCCCCGTCCTCCTCGTCCTCCTCGCGGCCCGCTGCGCTTCGGCGCGACACGCTGTCCGCTTTCCTGCTCCCCCGCGTCCACGCCCCGAGCGTCTTCCAGCCTCCCGCCCCACGCAGCGGAGCGATACGCTGCCCGCTCGCAAGGGATAGCGTGCCGCTGGGGCCGCCGCCGCGACACGCCAAGCAAAACTTCCCGACCGCAGAGGGGGTCGGAGGATTGCGCCGCATCGCCGATGCAATGGCGATGCGGCTCGATGCGGGGCCCGATTTTCTCTGCGCTGACGGCGTCGATGCGTCGCCGACGTCGCCGCTGCATCGCCGATGTATCGGTGATGCACCGATGATGCGGCGCGATCCTCCGACCCTCCCTACTTGGACTCCATCTAGGAGGCATCTAAACGAGCGGCAACATATCGAACTTTCGGAGCTTCGCGCGGATTTCTCGCATCGGCGCTGTGCCTCCCCGTTCGCCACCCCTTTTTTGGCGGGCCGCTTGGGTGAATCTAGCTTTCGTTCTCGCGCTGCGCGCGGGAGAGGACTGTTGGCCTTCGCCTGGAGTCCTGCCTGCCTGCGCAAACACAAACTCTCGGAGCTCCGCGCGGACTTCTGGGATCGATGCTGGGCCCCCCCGCGTGCTGAGGGGGGCCCAGCGTCCGTCGATCAAAGAAGTCCGCGCGGAGCCCCGAACGCTTGTGTTTGTGCAGTCTTTTCGTCCTCCATGTGCCTTCCTTGAGGCAGTGCCCCACAGAGTCGCCCTTTGGCGTCTCGAATCGTACAGCGGGCGCGGAGACGGATCATCGTCCGGACGCGGGCGCTTTCTCGATCTCTCCCTCGATCTCTCCCTCGATCTCTCCTCTGGCAGCCTTCCCAGGCCGCCGACCGCGGCGAGCGAGACCCCACGGCGGTGCCGGAGACCCTGGGCGACCCCGCAAAATTCTCCTCCTCCTCCTCCTCCGCCTTCTCCCTCTCCTCCTCCTTCTCCCCCTCCTCTTCCTCCTCCTCTTTCTCCTCCTCTTCCTCCTCCTCTTTCTCCTCCTCCCCCTCCTCCTCCTCCTCCTCCTCCTCCTCCTCCTCCTCCTCTTTCTCCTCCTCCTCCTCCTCCTCCTTTTCCGCCTCCCTCCTCCTCCTTTTCTCCTCCTCCTCCTCTCCTCCTCTTTCTCCTCCTCCTCCTCCTCTCTTCCTCCTCTTCCCCTCCTCCTCCTCCTCCTCCTCCTCCTCTCCTCCTCCTCCTCCTCCTCCTCCTCCTCCCCCCCCTCCTCCTCCTCCTACTCCTCCTCCTCCTCCTCCTCCTCCTGGCAGGCGTGGCCTCGCTGCGCCGCCCCTTCGGGATGGGCAACAACTTTGCAAGGCGCGCGCCGGGCGGGGGGCCCTGCGGGGGGGCACCGCTTTGGAGCGCCGGGCCCAAGCGGACGCGGGCGGGCGGCAGGAGGGCTCCCCAGCCACCTCCACCTCCTCCTACTCCTCCTCCTCCTCCTCGTTCTCCTCCTCCTCCTCCTCCTCCTCGCCTCCTCCTCCTCCTCCTCCTCCTCCCCCTCCTCCCTCCTCCTCCTCCTACTCCTCCTCCTCCTCCTCCTCCTCCTCCTCCTCCTCCTCCTCCTCCTCCTCCTCCTCCTCCTCCTCCTCCTCCTCCTCCCCCTCCTGGTATGACAACGTTTTGTGTGTCAAGGTTGAGCTACACTGTCAATGCCGCGCTCTCCTGGGGCTTGGCTGTGCTCCTGCTCGTTAAACGTGTGTCACGTGTGTGGAGCTGCGCTGTCAGTGCCGCGCTCTCCTGTGGCTTTGCTGTGTTCCTGCTCGCACCGCACGCCGCCAGAGGTGGCGGGGAGCTTGAGAGATCCACCTACCAAAAGAGCGCTGGGCCCAAGCGGACGCGGGCGGGCGGCATCCTGCCCACCGCGCAAACCCCATCCACAGACATCGGGCGCCTCGGAAAGATCGAAGCGGCCGGTTCGTCGCCGTTTGTTGGCGTCTCGAGGCCAGTCTCGGGACTCGGGGACGTCAGCAACAACTCGGAACGGAAAGCTTGCCTTGGCAGAGGGGTCGAGAGTTCTGGGGACCCACGCATCGAACACATCGAAGTGCCAGATGTCTGGGTCTCGTTCCCTCGGATGCCGCGCAGCGTGCCAGAGCTCTGAGAGCACAACGGGTCCGAGAGGGAAGCGCCCTCCATCCAGAACGCTCATACCATATTGCGAAGGCCTCACGGCCGGTGCCACCGACCCTGAAGGCAGACGACGACGACGACGACGACGACGACGACGACGACGACGACGACGACGACGACGACGACGACGACGACGACGACGACGGCAGCGGCGGCGGCGGCAACGACCATGGCGGGGGCGGCAACGACGACGACGCGGACGTGGGCCAGAGTCCTCAGGGATGGTTCTTGGGGTCTCTTCGGAAGTCTCTCGGAAGAAGCGTGTTCGTGGCGCACCCACGCTGTCTTGTGCGCAGTTCTCCTATCAGCGGTCCCGCTTAGGCTGCGAACGCGGTGTGCGATCGCCATCGCTGCGACAAAAAATGGTTCGCGGCGCCCGCACGAACATCGCTGCGTGGAACCGAGGAGGGCAACAGAGGCCGATTCTGCCCCCTCCTGCGTGTCTGGCTGTGCTTGTGCAGCTCGTGTCTCGTGCCAGCAGCTAGTCGGCCGCATTCGGCATCTCGTTTTTTTGTGTGTTTTTTGTTTCTCCGTCTCTCTCCTCCTCCTCTTCCTCTCGGCCTGGTCTAGCATGGTGGAGTCCCCTTTCCCCTCAGTTGGGAAGCTGGCAATTCCCATGATCGGGCCTTCACACCAGGGAAACAAACAGAGGCCGATTCTGACTATATTCTGGCTGGGAGGTTTTTCTTCGTTCCCCCCGCCCTTGCGCAATCCGCAGCTGTGTGGGTCACGTCCATTTTTGATTTGTAGTGTGCTGCGGCTGGTTGCCTATGAGGTGCGCTTGTTTGAGCAAAGTGGCAGTTTTCAACGGCAGTCCCACCACGAGTGGGCACAGAGGCAGGGCGCTTTCGTTGCTTCGTTTCTGTGTGGTGCAGGCAGGGATGCCAATAGTTTCTGGTGCCCTGGCGTCGGCAGACGTCGAGTCCCCTTCCCCAAACCAGCGCAAGAGCTCCTGGGCCGAAGTGTGGGTGACATGATCCATCGGGGGCATATGGCCTCAGTCTCCACCTGGTTATCCCACTGGCTGGAACATCAAGGCCACTTCCGCATGCCTGCAAGTGTCTGCATCTCGCCACTGTGCAGGGTATCTGCTGACGAATGTAGGCTTTGAGCGTCAGTCCCCCTGGCAATAGCGCAACCCATGGACAGCGTTGTGCAGGCCGCCCCCACATGGCTGGCCTAGCAGGCGCATGACAACCGAGTATCGTTCAATCTGGCCGAGGTTCGAGGCCGTCCTTTTGATGCTTCCCCCTTGACGCCGTCAACGACTCCCAGCCTGGGTCTGGTCACTTCAAGTGGTAGTCCCATGCAACTCGCACTGGCACACAACCCTGGCCAACCGATCGCCTTGCATCGATCCCAAGTCGGCCGCAGGAGGAGGAGGAGGCGGAGGAGGAGGAGGAGGAGGAGGAGGAGGAGGAGGAGGAGGAGGAGGAGGAGGAGGAGGAGGAGGAGGACGAGGCGGAGGAGGAGAGAGGAGGAGGAAGGAGGGAGGAGAAGGAGGAGGAGGAGGAGGAGGAGGAGGAGAGGAGGAGGGGAGGAGGAGGAGGAGGAGGAGGAGGAGGAGGAGGAGGAGGAGGAGGAGGAGGAGGAGGAGGAGGAGGCGGGTTGACCCGGGCCAGGCTGTGGGCTTGCAAGCGTGAGGCCAGGACATGCCAGGATGCCCACCTCTCGGCACACCGAGCCCGTGGCCTGCCCTGGCTCCCTCTGGCCGGTTTCCCGACCCCGCTGTACTGCTGGGCATCGGAGCTGTAGCTCTAGGCCTCCTAGATGGGCTCGACGGGTCGGAGGATCATGATGGGCCCGTTTTCCACCACCACCACCACCACCACCACCACCACCACCACCACCACCACCACCACCACCACCACCACCACCACCACCACCACCACCACCACCACCCCACCACCACCACCACCACCACCACCACCACCACCACCACCACCACCACCACCACCACCACCACCACCACCACCACCACCACCACCACCACCACCACCACCACCACCACCACCACCACCACCACCATAAGTTGGAGGGGGGTCCTCCTATTCCTCCACCTGCTCCTCCTCCTCCTTGTCCTCCTCCTCTTCGTCCTCCTCTTCCTTCCCCACTCCAACTCATGGTGGTGGTGGAGAACAGGCCCATCAGATCACGCCGCATCGCCAATGCATCGGCGATGCAGCTCGGTGTGGGGCCCGATGATCCCCTCGCCAACGTCGCCGAGGCATCGCCGACGTCGCCGACGCATCGTCGATGCGTCGGCGACACAGCGGTGATGCGGCGCGATCCTCCGACCCCATGCGCTCGGGCCCCGTCTGGGAGGCCTCTATTTCTGGGGCGCCTGGGCCGCATCGCCATGACCGCATTCCCCCCCCCCCGCGTGGGCCCCGCGCCCCGCTGCCCCCCCCCCCCGTTGGCGTGCGATGGCGCCCGCCGCGCTGCCCCCCGCTGCCTCCTGCTGTCCAGCGTTCGCGCCAGCGCTCGGGCGCCCCCGGGCGCTCCGCAGCGAGGGCCGGCCCCGCCCGCCGGCCTCGCCCCTCTGCTGCCTCCTTTGCCCATGGCCCCGTCCTCAGGGGCAGCTTTCAAGGGGGGATAGGCTCAGAGGTCCGAGGAGGAAGAGGTGCCCATACCTCCACCCTTCGCCCGCTTTCCCCCCTGTGGGGCCTCCTCGGGGGCCCTCGCTGCCGCCGCTGGATTCGCCCCGAGATCCTGGTCAGAACGCACCCCGGGAGAGGTCCGGGGAGTGGCGGTATCGGTGCCTTTTGGTCTCCCCAACAGGGCATCTGCTGGAGGGCGCGAGGCGATGCCTTGGGGAGCCTGAGAGGCCCGAGAGGCGCGCCCTGGGTGGCCCGAGAAGGGTGAGCCTGGGGAGCCTGGAGGGGGGGGCCCTGATATTAGTTCGGGGCAGCCTGGGAGGGTGCGCCCTGCCCTGCCCTGCGCGCCGCGGGGCCCGCACGGGGCGGCAGCACGCCCGCTCTCGGGTGCGGCGGCGCGCTCGCCCTGCCTGCGCACCGCCCGGTGCGGGGCGCCTGGCTCGCCCCGCCCCGGCCCGACCGCCTCGGGAGGCGCCCGTGCCGGGCGCCCCCTCTCGGGGCACCGCTATGGGGGCGGAGGCGCAGACTCCTCGGGGGGGGGATGCCATGCATCGGCCCACAAGTCGCCCGCTCCTCGCCGACCGGGGCCCGAGAGCCCCTCCCGCCGAGGACAGCGTGCGCTTTCGCCCGCGCCGGATCCCTCGGCGCTGCCTCGCCGATCCCGGGCCGAGGCTCTCCTCCCCACCGAGCTGGCCCCCTCCCGCGGCCGTGCGGGACGACGCCGGCCGTTCCCCGGCGGGCCCCCCCGGCGGCCGCCGGCGCCGCGAGCGGGGCCCTGCGGGGCGGCCGCAGGGGGGGGGGGGGGGCGGGGCGGAGCCCCCGGCAGAGCAGAGGGCCGGGTCGGAGGCAGCGCCCCTGCGGCGAGGTGCGCAGGCAGGGAGCCTCTGCCCCCCTGTGGGCACGGCGCGCCTCGGGGGGAGCGCCCCGCCAGCTGCAGGCCGGGCCACGGGGGCGCCATGGGAGGCGCTCCAGCCGGCCCCCACGGGTCGGGTGAGCGGGCTGCAGCGGGTTGCAGCGGGCGATGCGCGCAGCCGGGGCTGCGGGGATGGGCCACCGAGGCTGGGAGAGGGACGCACCGCCCCCCTCGGAAGAGTCGAGCCCCGGACGCCCCTCGGCGAGGCGCAGCCGCCGGAGGGCATCCCGAGAGGCTGGAAAGCCGCCGAGAACCAGCGGAGACGTCCGAGAACCGCAGACCTCAAGCCTCGCACCTCAAACCCTTGTCGTCGCAGGCCTAGAGATTGACACCAACACCAATAGCGGCGGTGTGCATCAACCGAGGGAAGAAGATCCCGATCTCGGTGATGGTGGTAATGTTCTGGCTTCCGAGGTGACCGAAATATTGCCACCAACACCGACATCTAGGATCATCTTCCCCATGTGGAGGCAACTCCCTGTGTTGGTGTTGGTGCCCATTTCTAGGCCTCCAATATCGTCCCAACCGTTGCCCCTCATCCTCTGGCGCGCTTCGGGGCTGCGAGGCAAGCTCCGGCGAGGCTGGGAAGCCGTCGAGAGCCGACGAAAGCGTCCGAGAACCGAAGGCCTCGGACCTCAAAACTGTCGCGCCTCACCTGCGGCAGGCGGCGGCGGCGGCCCGCCCGTGGACTCGTGAGGAGGGCGGAACCTGCCTCGGGGGCGGGCGGGCGTCGTCGGGTGCAGTACGGCCGGCCCCTCGGGCGTGGCCCCTCCTCCTCCGCCTCCCTGCGGAGGTGCAAGGAGAACTTCGGGGACTCCGACAGCGAGGAGATCTTCCAGTCCCGCTACACCAGCGGCTGGTTCCCGCAGGCCCCAGCCCGCCGCCGTGCGCCCGGGCGCCGCCGTCTCCTCGCAGGTCCATCCTCCTCCCTCTTCTCCCTCTTCTCCCTCTTCTCCCTCTTCTCCCTCTCCTCCCTCTTCTCCCTCGCCCCTCCCTCTCCCTCGTCTCCCCCTCCCCTCCCCCTCCCCCCCTCCCATGCACCCCCCTCCCCGAGGCCGAGAGGGGGGGAGAGGCTACTGCCCCCCCCCCTCCCCCCCTCTCGGCCCCCGGGGGCCCGCGGCGGGCCCCCCCGGGGGCCGTCAACACAACGACTCGGGAGGGCGGGCCGTGCCCGGGGTAAAGGGGCCCAGACCTTCTTGGGGGGGTCACGCGGGATGTGCAGGCTCCCCTCGCCCCCGCGCCCCCCTCCCGCTCCCCCTCCCCCCCCCCCTCGCCTCGGCCCCGCGAGTGCCCCTCCCCGCTCTCCGCCTCTCTCTCTCTCTCTTTCTCTAACTCTTTCGCACCCTCTCTCTCTCTCTTTCTCTCACTCTCTTTTTCTAACTCTTTTTCTATTTCTCTAACTCTTTCTCTTTCTCTAACTCTTGCTCTTGCTCTTCCTCTCGCCGCCACCCCTCCCCCGCCCTCCCCCCCCCCCGCGGACTCGGGCAGAGAGAGAGAGAGAGAGAGAGAGAGCGCCAGCAGGTGGGAGAGGCCCGGCGGGAGCGCGGGAAGACGGAGGGCCGCTCGTGCGGGGGGTGGGGACGGGGGCAGCGCGCGCCGCCCTCCGCCCTCCGCCCTCTCGGGGGGGGGCGAGGCGCGCTCGCCCTCGGAGAAAGTGACGACGCCGCCGCCGACGGCGGCCGCCGCCGCCGCCGCCGACGCCGCCATGACGCTGCCGCGCGCCATCGACGGCGGGGTGCCCGTTGGGCTCCCCACGTCTACGCCAGGGGGGGCCTCCGGGAGCCCTCCTCCTCCTCCTCCTCCTCCTCCTCCTTCTCCTCCTGCTCCTCCTCCTGCTCCTCCTCCTCCTCCTCCTCCTCCACCTGCGACCTCCTCCTCCTCTTCCTTCTCCTCATCATCCTACTCCTCCTGCCTCCTCCTCCTCCTCCTCATCAGCGGGGCGCCTCGAGGCCGCCGGCGAGGGCGAAGGCGCACGCGAGGAGGCAGGCGAGGCCGCCGAGGTGGGCGGCAGCGAGGGCGCAGGGCGGTGGCGCATGGGGAGGCCGTGGAGCACGACGGCGTGGGCGAGGGCGTCGGAGGCGAGGGCACTGCAGGTCGAGGTCGTCGAGCGGGTGGGCGTCGTGGTCGGGGGCGCGGGCGACGGCGCCGGCGACCGTTCGGATATAATATAGCCAGGACCCCGGGTCCGGGGAGCCTGTTGATTGGGCACCGAAGCCCTAAGGATTGGCCGGGATCCCTACGCCAAGTCTGCCGCAGCTGGTGTCGCTGCGGGTGGCGACAGTTCTGGTCAGTAGAAGGGGTCGGGGGGGGGCGCGTCCCCTGGTGCACATCACTAAACCAGGTCCCACTGAACCCAGTCCCGCCACCGCCCGAACCGTGTCGGCGACGGTGAGGGCGCGCGCGAGGGCGACTGGCAGGGTCGTCGACGGCGGCGCGGCTGCAGGCGGTGGCGAAGGCGTATGCGAGGACGGCGGCGGATGAGCGGCTACCCAGCCGGGAGGCAGGCGAGTGAAGGGAGGTCAGGTAGCCCCAGGGCGCCCACGGTCATCCCGTGGGAGGAGGGGGTGGGGGGCAGAGCAAAGGGATGAGGAGAAAGGGGGAGAGCTGACGGTGGTGGTGGTGGTGGTCATGGTGATGGTGACAGTGATGATAACGATGATGGTGATGATGATGCTGCTGATGATGATGGTGATGATAATGACGATGATGATGATGAGGATTATGATTCTGCTGCTGTTGCTGATGATGATGATGATCAGATGATGATGCTGCTGATGATGAGGATGCTGCTGATGATGATTGTAATGATTCATCGATGGTAGTGGTGAGCAGAACGCGGAGGAGAGAGAATTAGTCATGCTGCTGCTGATGAGATGATGATTATCAGAATGATGATAACGGTGATGGTGGTGGCGGTCGTGATGTTGATGTTGATGGTGATGGCGATGGTGATGGTGATGATGATGATGATGCTGCTGATGATGCTGAGGATGATTCATCGATGATGATGGTTGCTATGATGGTGGTTGTTATGATGATGCTGACGATGATTCTGATGGGGCTGCTGGTGATGATGATCATGATGATGATGATCATGATGATGATGATGATGATGATGATGGTGAATGATTCTGATGGTGGTCGATGGTAATTGGATGATGGTGATGGTGGTGATGACTATGAAGTGAAGCTTGTGCTGCTGCTGATGCTGATGATGAGGATGATGCTGCTGATGATGAAGATGCAGATAGCGATGACGATCATGATGACCATGATGATTATGACGATGACGTTGATGATGCTGATGATGATGATGAAGGTGATGATGATGATGATGATGATGATGATGATGATGAGGATGATGAATGTGATGGTGATCATGATGCTGATGGCGATAGTGATGCTGATGACGATCGTGATGGTGGTGGTGATGGTAACGGTGATGGTGCCGAGGTTGACGACGATGCCGATGACGATGACGATTACGGTGATGATGCTGCTGATGATGATGATCCCGTTGTTGTTGTCGTTAATGATGATGATGATGGTGGTGATGATGATGATGCTGCTGAACCTTATGCTGCTGCTGATGATGATCGAGGAGGGGAAGCAGGAGGAGGAGGAGGAGCTATATCAGGGATGGCGATGGGTGGTGATGATGCGGATGATGATGAACATGATGATGATGATGATGATGATGATTATGATGAACATGATGATGATGATCTTGATGATGATCTTGATGATGGTGGTGATGATGAAGATGATACTGATGATGATGATGGTGGTGGTGGTGGTGATGTTTTTTTTGTTGTTGGTGATGCTGATGATGATGATGATGATTAGGATGATGATGATGATGATGGTGCGAGTACTGATTCATCAGGGATCATGGTTGTTATGATGATAGTGGTCGTGACGATTATGAGGATGATAATGGCAGTGATGATGCTGATGATGGTGATGATGATGATGATGATGATGTTGACCGCAATGACTCATCGATGATGGCAGCTGTTATGGTGATGGTGGTTGTGATGCTTATGCTGATCATGATGATGATGGTGTGATGATGATGCTGTTGATGATGACGATGATGGGTGTGGTTGTGGTGGTTGTGATGGTGATGGCGATGATGGTGGTGGTGATGATGGTGATGGTGATGGTGATGGTGATGGTGATGGCGGTGATGATTACGATGATGCTCATGATGATAATGATGATGATGATGATGATGATGATGATGATGATGATGATGATGATGGCGATGACGATGATGATGATGATGATGATGATGATGATGATGAAGATGTTGACGGCAATGACGATGACGATGGTGATCATGATGATAATAATAATGTGACGGTGACGTTGATGATGGTGATGATGATACTTATGATGAGGTTGCGGATGATGATGATGGTGATGTTGGCTAGGTTGATGTTGATAATGTTGATGATTATGATGATAATGATGATGCCGATGGTGCTGATGATGATGATGATGATGGTGATTGTGATGGTGATGATGATGGTGATGGTGATCGTGACGATGCTGATGCTGGTGATGATGAGTATGCTGCTGCTGATGATGATGATGATGATGATGATGATGATGATGATGATGATGATGATGATGATGATGGGGAGGAGAAGGAATTCTACAAGGGATGACGATTGATAATGATGATGAGGAGGATTAGGAGGAGGATGAGGAGAATGTGAGGGGCAGATCCGCCCGCCGCCCTGCCGATCGCCGCCGGGGAGGCCCTGGGCAGCGGCAGCTGCTCCAAGGACGCCGGTTGGCCCGCGCTCTCTCGGCCGCATTGCTGCTGCATGGCCCCCCGCTCGGGGCCGTGGATCAAAGACGACATGTCTGTCAGCGTGCGTCCCAAACGGTGAGCTCTTGCACCCTGGGTGTGCAATCTGGTGCCATTCATTCTGTTGCATCTTCGGGGGACCTCGCCTGTCCCCAAAATTGGTGTCTTTTTGGGGGCCCGACGCGGGCTCGATGCGGACTCGACGCGGATTTGGGATGGATTCGACGCGGATTCGACACGGATTCGACACGGATCCGACGCGTCCGACATGGATGGATTCGACACGCATTCGACGCGGACAGGGCCGCGACGGGACAGACAAGGTCCCCCGAGGATGCAACATAACAGTCATGTGTCATTCATGTGGTATAATCAACGGAGCGAAACTCATGATGAACGCCCTGAGGGCGTCAACTCCAGTGCTCGAGCAATCATCCCACCCACCCGACCGCAACTCGTTAGTAAATGTCAGCACGAGCAATGGCGCGAACACCCATTTCCCATATAAACCCATGACTCGGGCGGTCAAGTGATGATGGTGACGACGACATCTGCGACGACGGCGACGGTGGTGATGGCGCTATTGATTGTGATGGTGACGGTGATGGTGATGACGATGATGACGATGATGATGATGGTGCTGATGACGATGCATCTGATTATGATGATGACGGTGATGGTGATTGCGGTGACGATGACGACGAGGTTGACGACATCGACGATGACGATTGCGACGACCGTGGTGACGGTGAGGAGGACGACGGCGACGACGACGGC